TGCCAGCAAAGCCGTAGCATGCGCATCCATAGCAGGCAGGCAGGCCCCCAAGAGAATACTCGACCAGATACAACGGCCAATTTATCAGAGACGGCTCCCTTCCAGAAACATAATGATTGAGTTATCAGAGCATTATCTTGTTTCTGAACCTCCATCTGAGCCTTCAAGCGGTAGTCAAGAACGACTTGGGTAGCTCTGGTGGACTTTGAAGAAGAAACGTCCCCAACTTGGCGCCCGTTGCACTAAAAACAACGCAAACTCAAACAGGCTGAGAAACCGAAGCCACTGAATTTCGTGCCACGACGTCCAAGTAATACCATGATGATCTTTGCGGTACCGGTCGCAGACACACACGGGGTTGTTGGGAATGAGATCTGGGATTTGCTTCGGCTTGAGGCTGGCAGCAGACCGCGCGGGTCGCAGCCATCGGGTACTCAATGAGGAGGAGAAGGTTGTATGGAAGCTGCGGCAAGATACTGTGATGCTTCAGGAAGCATGTTGGCGTGACATGTATGACCTGTTAATCGCTGTCATTCTGATTACTGTTAATAGTCAGAAAGACCTGATACTCTATGTGGACAAGCCTTCAAGGTTGAGCATCGGTATGATAATACGAACAAGGGCCCGGTCAATCGGACAGTACCCTCACATTGCTTTGAGCACCCGCGAGGCTTATTAAACCATGGACAAAGGCTGTGGCAAAAACAAGGGCAATCGACGCATGAATCGCAGTTAGGACCCCGCTGGTGGGATAGCGGTTGTGCGTAGATCTTGTATAGCCATACCGTGACTATTTGAAAGACATATATGTCGAAGCCCACCGAATTTGTGCAGTTGAGACGAGCATACAGAGCAAGAGGATCCCAGGTCTTCTGTTGCCGCTCCTACTGCTCTTGAATGTACCGGCTGGAAAAGCTGATCCTCATGCGAGCAGTGCTCACCATGCAGTCTCCTCGGGCATTTTGAGGACATCCGCGTCTGGGATGATCTCAGTAGTGGACGCCGCCGACAGAAAACGGCCACCATGTGCGCATATGTCTGAGGGACATATATTCTCCCCAGAACCACGAACGTAACAGCCGTCCTGGACTTTGTCAAGCCCACAAGGTGGTCTGGCCAAACTCACCAATATCCTACTGTGGCGTCTCCAGCACCTCGCGCAGACATAATAATCATGATGGGATACGTGCATCATCAGCCTTTCCATAGGCGTTCGGCATGCACCTCCCTATTCTCCTTTGGCTTTGCTTCTTTACACCCTCCTTGACCACCGCCTTCACTAAGAACACGGGGGCGGATGTCAAGATGCTTGTGTTGACGCCTAAAGTTAAGCGGTTGCTTAGAAAAATTGTGCATCACTGTTCCGTTCCAGATCCCAGCTTCCTGTGTGCATCTCCAAAGGCATCACGACACAGATACATGCGGTATTATAGACGTCTGTACGTCAGCACGTAGGTCAAGGACGAAAAAGGTGTGTCTGAACGACGCCATGGCGGTCACAAAGGGGATGTGGCTTTCATTTTAGTGGACTAAACTCAAGGGATCAAAAGTTGGTTATAATATTGGGGGGGTATCAGCCCAACGTAGCTTCTTTAGCGCGTCTGCCCTGCAGATGAGCAGTGAAGAGGGGAGTCTGGCAATGCCGGGATATCAAAGCCATAGTACTGCCAATCAGCTTGCGGAGCATTAGCGGGAGTCTCCTGTATCAGAGATGCGGCTGAAACCATATCGTACCACAATATCCGTAGAGGCTGACATATCTTGAACCCGTTGCTCTGATCGCATCTCTCTCGTCATATCCCTGTCCAGCTAGTTGACCCTGGTCGTGCAACATCGTGGTCCCACACTACCAACTTGAATAGAATTTTCGGAGCATTTGTTCAATCAAAGAGGTGACTTTGAGTCAATAAGCCCTGATGGTCTAGCGGTATGATTCTCCCTTAGGGTTGCGAATAGCTTCTCAGCATGGGAGAGGTCCCAGGTTCGATCCCTGGTTAGGGCCTTATTCTCTATTTTGCTTCGCTATGTAATTTTCCTTGCTGTTCCTGGGGTTTTCTTCTTTCTCTCTTATATTTTTATTTTTATTCTTGCTACCTTTCTTCTGTTTTTCTCTTTCCCTTCCTTTTTTGTTAATGTTACGGATATCAAAATTTCTTTCCATTCCGGTCCAAAGCGATGCCGGCCGCTTGGTAAGTTAAATGTTAATGCGACACAGCCTGTTGGTATGGGAACGATTTGCTAGTATGCGTTGGTTACTGACCAAGGTTGATCGGTGGCGTCCAAGTGCCGGCTGTGCCTCTCGACGGCGCGATTAGAGTTTACACCAAGTGGGTGGAATCTCAAACTACATGCGAATTTCGTACGTAGTAAGTGATCATTTGCTGCGCGTCATGCTTAGGTCGGATACAACTGCCGTCGTCTAAAGAGATTGGGCGAGTCGAGGCGGTGTTCCCCTCTCGACGAGCCGCTCTAAAGGTCGATCAACTATTTGCGAACCGTGATACTGGGACAGACCAGCACCTGCGTCAGCCTGTTGCCGACATAACCGGTTCTGCAATACCGAAGGCTCTGGTGTCCCCACCATTCGAAGTCTCGCGTGTGCGGGCTCACTCTCCTGTTTTGGCTTCTTTCCGCGGAGAATGCGTAGAAATCAACACGGAACGAAACAGCATTGCCGGCAGGGCACGTACGAAACAGCACGAGGCCCCCCTCGACATCGAACGGCAATACCTACCCTTTCCCCCCGTTCCATTTGGCCAGTAAGTCGAAGCGATGGAAACTGGCGGCGATAGACTATAGTTGAGGTAGCAACAACATTTCGTTACGCTTTGGCCCCTTTTCCTTTGGTAAGGTATCAGAGTTGGGCAGTATTGTTTTGACAGGTCTGGGCGTCCCAAATCCAGCGGCAGCAAACCCAGCCAAGTGGCATGCGCGTACGGGGACGATACATGGTGCTATTGTCGTATCCTAGGGCTGCGTAAGAAAGAGGCTTAACGGATCATGAATCCCGAGGGGGAAAAGAGGGGAGACACAATAGAAAGAAGAAAAAATAAAAGAAAAAAGGCACCGATCTTGGCCCAGCACGTGCATGACCGCTCCGAGGGTCACAATTGCAGCAGCGGCATCGGTTTCGGAAGCCGTCCATCTCAGGGTTACTTTAGTAGGTAGTGTATTCCGTGGTAGGTATCAAAGTAAGGTAGTGGGGACGACGGGCGCTAGCGACATGGGTTGCCAGGGGGCGGCCAAGAGCGTGGAAATTGCATGTACTACCGGTATGTATGTGGCGGTAATGTCGTGCCACCGCAGTCGGTGGTGTTGTGGTTCACAGCCCCTCAATTGAAAAGATCACTCTGCATCGTGTGTTCCGTGGCTCCATTCACATGCCGGGCGTCTATGCAGGTATACGCCAACGGGAAAAGGTCACGGGTTCGGTAGGCTCGGCCGGCGGTGGAATGATGACGCGGCGTGGAGTGGGATCCCGCCGAGTTTGTGGCATGTCTCGGTATCTATGTGGGCGCCTTCCAGACATCGGTTCCTGAGCTCGTCTCCTGTTTTCCTTTTGACGATGATGTAATTAAGCCAGGGCGGCCCGAGTGTCTTTCCTCTGGGTTTTTGTCTCTCACTCTCTCCACAGGGAGCCGCCGGCCGCTGATGTAAGTCTCGTCGTCGCAGGCATGAGCCACGCTTCCATCCGGGATGTGGAGGAGTGGAAAGGGGGAAATGCACCTACCTACCACCTACGGATACTACCGACCTTCTACCGACATAGGTACACTACTACTAGTGGGCTGCGCAGCACATTGCAAGCCCGATAGACGCACACGCTCTCACACTGCTGCAAGGACCAAGCCAGCTAACAGCAGCCCTAAGCCATTGGCAAAACGGGCGAGCTCCCCCAATCAGGCGACTCTTGAACCATTTCAGCGTTGTGATTGGTTACAATCTCGGACGCTGGCGCTTGCACCGGTCCTAGGTTGGGGTGTGCTCTGCCGCCTGCATGAGGCCGCCCCTTGGTCCTGAAACGCATCTCGTCAGGGAATCGGATTCATCATGACCTTCCTCAGCCCATTTTCCTCCCCCTTCACACAGTCTCTCCAGTGTTCCCTTTTGTGGGGGCTGGGTAGATCTCGCACAGTTTTTGGTAGAACAAGCAGGCCTTCGCTCACAGTGTGCAATTTGTGGACTGGTTCCAAGCTGTTTCAGTGCGTTTCTCATCCTCGCCGTCGCTGTTCGAGACCTCGTGGATAAGACCAGGGAGGGCCCTGACCACAGCGCCGTCAGTCCCCTACGTAACCACACAAGACGATGACACCCACCATCCCGTCGTGGCCCTTTCCCCTTCTCGATAGAATGCCCCTCTGCTGCTTGTTTGAATCCTGTGATTCTCTCTAGGGCCGGCCTCCCTTGCCATCATCGTCCGAGACAGTTTTGTGGACCCCCCTTACCGGACGCTCTCCCGCGTCCTCGAGGCTCAGACATCTAATCGCCTTTTACGGGCCACCCGCCTGCACCAGCCTGCACCAGCAGCCTCTTCTCCTCCCCTTTTGCTTCGTGTAGCAAGTTGCGCTTCCCCTTGGAGGGAGATTTCTGATCCATCTTCACATTCTTCTGTACAATCGTTCAACCCCCCCCCTTGTTCTCTTCTTCGCGACGTTTTCGTCAGCTTCTTTCTTTTCTCCCTTCGGTTTTTTTTGTGTGCGCTCGATTGTCCCCGCTGGGTGGTGGAAGTTTACTTGATTTGCTGGTCGAAGACAGTCCTTACCCCCGACGCAGCAAAGGCGACGAACGCACATTCGAACCCGTACCGAACAACATCGAAAGACGCCGGTCGTCAAACTCACCAATCTCAAGTCTTAAAAACTATTACGGAAAAAAACAAAACAGGAGGAATATCTCGAATCAGGAAAGGAAAGGGAAGAGGAGCAGCCAAGTCTCTCCGAGCGACATCTTGGTTGTCGGGTCTCTACGGTTGCTCGGTTTTTTAAGAAACACCACCAGTCATGGCGAACAGGATTCTCTTGGCCTTCGTGGCCGCCGACATCGTCTTCCTCATCACTGGAGCCCTTCTCCTCGGTTTCTCCCTCATCAACCAGAGCCTCGTCGGGGAGACGCCTACGGAAGGAGTCGCAGCCGTCATGCGTCTGCTGACGGCTAAATTCCCATTGACAGGTGCGTAAGGGACGGAGTGATGCGAACACGCCCGCTGGCACCTCGTGATAGGCGATATTTGTCGTAATGAGTACTGACTCGGTCTTAGCTGGTATCGTCAATGCCATCTTCATCTTCGTCACTTTCGTTAGCACCCTCCCCGGTATGATTACGCCGACTCGCGGCTGGCTCAAGATCTCGGGCTACATGACGACCTTCTGTGGCCTCTTCAGCCTTATCCTCGGTGTCTATCTCTGGGTTATTACCCTCAACACCAAGAACGATTTCGGCAAGACGTGGAACGCTCAAGACCCCCGCATCCAGGATATGATGCAGACTGCTGTAAGTGATGCTCGCGATACCTACCCATCGATCAAGTATTCTTGGGCCTAACATGAACCACCAGTTCAAATGCTGTGGATATTTCAACAGCACTTCACCTGCATTCATCACCGATGCCCAATGCCCGAGTCCTGCCGCCGCCGCCCTGCAGCGTGGCTGCGCAACCCCGATTACGAGCTTCGCCAACATCTTCATCGATAACATCTTCACCGCCGTCTTCGGCATGGTCGGTGTCGATGCCCTCCTCGTCTTATGCACGGCTATGCTTCTTAAGGACCGCAAAGAGCGCGAACGCTACCGCCACATTGACGAGAAGGCCGGCTCCCGCGGTTTCTAAAATCTCGGCAGTCTCGTTTTTCAGGGCAATGTCGCAAGCCACGGATCGGGCAACTCAAACCTCTCTCATCTCTCGTTCTGGAAACCTTACTTCAGAAACACCACCTTTTCTTGCTGTGTGGCAGTAAGGGAGCGAGCGTGGCACTCCTCCCCCTCTTTTTTTCTTTTTTTCTTGGGATGAGAATGAAGTGATAATCGCCTCACCGCCGCTGTCATTGAATGTCTTTAATCTTGCTCCTTAGACAAAATGGACAGGCAGAATCAATATCTTACCCCCCCTTTTCTCTGCTTCCACAGAGCCTCCTCGGTTTTCCTCGTCGTCCGGGGAGAGAAGGGAGCCTCACGACCCTCGACTCATCGAAACGACAATTCTGGACGGAGATATTCGATGCGAAAGTCTTTCAGTGTGACGGCCCATACTCACTCCCCTTCTGACCTCGGTCGTCTTATCTCTCGAGTCAGATCGACGTCAACTTTTTTCTTGTCTCAGTGTGGACATCATAGATTTTTAGTGTCGATTATCTCTGTTCTGTACATAGGGGGGATCTTGCTCTGAAATCAAACCTGTTTCTCAACGCTGTGCGTGTGTGTGCGTGTGTGTGTGTATACACGTGAATCCCGTTCTATCGTCTTGTCGTGTGTTGGTGTATGCGAGTTTGTGCGTGACTGAGCAAGTGAATGCGGATTCCGAGTCACCGGATGTGCAAGAATAGGGGGCGGCGGTGCTTCCTCGTTGCCCACCCGAAGCTGGTACACAGAGGACATGCAGAAGACGGCGACGAACGAGATTAGCTCATATATACAACAATCTCGGTTGTCAACCTAGTGTGCGTGTGCCACTCCTATAAATCTATTCGTGGCAGCAATGACGTGAGGGACGTAGACACAGCCAGGGCAAAGATGCAACATATCTGATTAGCGGCCCCTGGCAGCTGGGGATGGACGAGATCCCAGGGCTCTTTATTATAGAAACCCCGGGAGCCTGGTGTGTTTAGGCTGGAGCTCCACAGAGCAGGTGGGCGAAAGTTATCTCAGCTTGAAATAGCATGGACGCCTTCGTCTGGGGTAAACATTGCCAAGAAAACCCTCGTGCCCACGTTGAGGGTTTTCCCCTAGTCCTTACCCCCTACGAATACATCTGTTATATCGGTTCGTTCGTTGGCAGAGCTGGAAGGGGGTGGGTGGGGAGGGGAGGACATCAAAACCCGGCTCGACATGGCATATATTGGCCTGATCAAAGTAGCCAACCCATTTCGCCGAGGGCTGTCAATATCACCGCCTGACGGTCTGTGGTTTGGCGTAAAAAACCAAACCACCCCGGCGCGTATAAACGGAACGCCAATCTTTTGCGGGGCAGGAACCGGGGGAAGGGCCAGGCGACCCCCCATTTACCTCCAGCACTGGCGCTTGGGAGAGCATCGGCGAAGGCGGCGATGTAATAAACACTTGATGGCTGCGGTCCTACGCCGCGACCGATTTCTTTTCCTCATCCTCCTTCCTCTTCTTCTTAGCGTCTGGATGACCGTGTGGGCTGGCTTGAGGGGGCGAGCCGGCTGCCCTGGAGGAGCCTGGGCGTGGAGATGCCCGCGCTGGCCCCGAAGACATGGAGTGCGTAGTCGTCAAAGCCAAACGGGAGAGGGGTGGTGGAGAGGAGGAGCGTCTAGACCTCGACAATCTTCCGTCCAGATCGAACTCTCTGTGTGCAGCCAAGCCCGTTGAGCACTGGTCAGCGCGCATCGGACAAGGTTTCGCGTCATGTCGCTTTCCGGCCTCTGACGTGATAAATATAGCTCGTGTGCCTGCCCGCCCGTGGAGCCGGGATGGGGTTCGGCGAGGAGTTTAAAGAAGGGCGGGTATCGGGAAGGCCACGCGCGCGCACGAAGTCCGTTCCACGCCTTTGCAGATGCGGCGGAAGAAAACACCACGTTTGCGCGCCCTTTTTGAGTCGTCCCGGTGACACATGCCAACACCGAAATGCATGCACATACAAGCGCGGTCTGCACCGCCCACGTCCTCACCACACGGAGGACTCAAAGTCCCGACGAAGAAAGGGTAGGGAGATGTCACCGGAGCCCACTAATGTGCGTGTGTCGGCGATGTAGGATTGGTTATTACTGCCGCAGCTATCTTCGTTTCGGATGGACCGTAACGGTCTGCGTCATAAACCCCCTCCCCCTCCCCCAAAAAAGACCGAGAAAACAAAGACCAGGCCCAACGCACATTGTGCACAACGTGGGATTATCAGACCCAATAACCTACTGCGTAATTGGGTTTGCTGGCGTTGTCCGTCGCCACGTCTTCGTGTCTACTACTCATAAGTTTGGGAATTCGGTGAGGAACCCAAGTGACAACACTAAAGCGCCGTCTCGACCTCGCCCCAGCATTGGAACCAAAGAGATATAATTCTAATGATATAATAGTAATGCTAGGCCCTTGTGGCATGCATATGAATGCGAATAGGTCGGTCAAGATGCTTTTTTCAATGAACCACGACACGCGTGGATCGCCGACTCACTCACTTTCTGATAGACCTGATGAAAATATGTTCTGGATTATAAGAGAACAGAAGTGTTTAAAAAGGGAATGAAGACATGACAATGTTCCGATACTCATACAGGCGAATCGTCATTCGGCCCGCCGCTCCGCCCCCTATCCTGGGACCCGCTACCGCTGCCGTTTCCCTTCCCTCTTCCGGCATCCCCTTCCTCTTGCTCTGTAGGCGGCGGAGGATCGTCTCGGAACACGGGCCATGCACTGCCGCTTCCACTGCTTCCCGGTGGGTTACTTGCACCGTCATCCGCCGCCGCGCTGCCGGGTCTTCTGTCGGGCCGCCACCACTTGAGCCTCCAGATGCCGCCCAGCGCGTCCTGCAACGTGGGCATGCTGCTCTGGCTCTTGCGCCGCCGGCGGGCCGTGAAGCCCGGGAACCCCGTAGATTTACGTCTTCTGCGCCCTAAGGGCCGACGTAATGAGGGTGAGTCGCTGCCGGGTCCCACATCTGAGGTGGGAGTGAGAGGGGGAAACTGGCTGCCGCTGCCGCTGCTCACGCCGCGGCGGTGCGGGAGTAGTGATGTCGATTCGCTAACGTCGGGCATCGTGCTGGAGCGCCTGCGCGCGGTAGGCGGAGTAGGCGTGTCGCGGTCCTCGAGTTCGTCCCAGATTTCGGCGCGTTCTTGCCATCTCCTGCCCGTCTTTTTGCGTTTAAGCGTGGGAGCCATCGGTGATGTCTCGCCGCTTGCCACATTAAATGTCGAGTAGGTCGTTGCAGGCAAGGGATCGTCCTCTTCGTGGAGGCTGTATAGGTCGTCACCACCCAGGAGGGACTCCTCTTCGTCTTCTGTGTCTTCCACGAGGCCGAGGCCGGGCGCCAGGGATGATTGGCCAACGCCAGGCGCGTGCTGCTCGTCGCTGAGACGCCAGGACAAGGCCAGGACGCCGGCCAGCAGTATCACCGTTCCCAGAGCAATGAGACACGCGCGGAGGGGGTTGATCATGTCCGTCTGCTTGAAGTAGATCAAGCCGTCCAGGATCGCGATGATGTTATAGATACAGAATACCAAGGGGTATAGCACCGAGGTAGAGACAAGCTTTAGACCGCGATGCAGGTAGTAGAGCTGGCTCAAAGCCAGAGTAATCAGCGCCATCACGAGGGCCCAAGCTTGCCAATGTACGAACTGGTTGTTGCCGTCCGCGATCGTCTTAATGATCAGCTCAACGGCCGACTTAGCGACCAGCAGCGAATGCGCCGAGAGGATGCCGCTTATGCACCCATACGAAAGACCACGGACGAAGCGGAACTTCGAGTTGAGCGACATGCTTGTGAAGTGGTCGAGGCAGTCGATGCTGATAGCTATGGACAGGACTAGTAAAGCCTGCATGCTCATCCACACGATGAACGGTTTCCGGCCGAGTAGCTCCAGCAGCTCCTGCAGGTTGTGAGCGGGCGCGGGGATGGCGCCGAAGATGGCGATCAGTACGGCGCCGGTGCAGACCAGCAGCGTACCCCAAAGCGACCACCTCGTGAAGGGCTCATTGAGGATGAGGGTGGCGCATATCGAGTTGAAGACGAGGCCCGAGGCCTGCAGGGTCGAGAGCACGGGGAGAGGGAGGGTCGATATCTGGACGGAGCTACCGAGAAGGTTGGCGGCGATGAACATGCCCATTCCCAGTTGCCATCTGCCCCTCCGGTACGGCGGACGGCGTATCTCGTGCGGGCCCTTTTCGTCTTCGAGGATGTGGGATTTCCGCTGCAGGGTGAGCCCCAGGCTCTGGACGCTGGTGGATAAGAGGCCGACGATGATTCCGATCTGCGTCAAGGTGCACACGTTAGCTACCTGGTTTCAAGGGGACGGATGCCCGGCGCAAATGGAGTTGGGAAGCGTACGGCGATTGTCCCCCCTGGGGAGATGCCGCCAAGGGACCCCATTGCGCGCACAAGATCCAGCTAGGTGTCGGTCATTTGGCGGCGGCAGTGATTATGTTTGAAGCAGCAGCCGTCAGGATCATGAATTATCGTCGGTCAACCCTTCTCCCTCGTTCCCTCTCCTCGGTCTGCCCTGGCGTTCGTGTCGTGGGGGTGGGCGAAGGGGGTATCGTTTCCCTTTGCGGAATGATCAGATAGAATCGACTTTGGCGAGTGATCAGACGCTTCGGTAGGATGGAGGAGGCGGACGAAAGAGCGGTGCGGGAATCGCTTCAACGTTATGAGGGGGGGGGGAAAGATGTAGCTAGAGACGTTTGGCCGAACACAGGTCGCCACGTTTTGGGCGACAAGGTATGCTGCTGCGCTTCACTCCAATAGCCGCCAAGAAAGAGCTTGCAGATGGGTTTCAAGGTCTGGGTGCGCGCCTAGTTCGTCCTAACGGCAGTTAAGGGGAAACAGAAACCTTTCTCCCTGCAAGGAACAGATGCTTGCGTATAAACCAATTTAATGCGCGTTGTTAAAGCATGGGGATTCCCATTAACATGACCAGAGTCGGTGAGCCACCTTCTATATTAGATCGTGGCCTCAGTTCGAAACATCAGACAGACAGACGTACCACGACGCAATGGCTATCGGTGTAGAGAAAGAGAGGGTCGGGGGGGGGGGTTCGGATCTGGCCAGGGCGGAAGTGCCCCAAGGGGAGAAGTGAGGGACAACACTTCCCCAATGGTACGGAGTACGAAGTACACGCAGCAACCAAGCACCACCACGACACTGCAGCCAGGGTAGGACTCTCCACTCTTCAGATCCCGCCTGCATTGCATTATTCAGTGCCCGTGGCGGTGCGGCTGCTTCTCGGCCCGGCGTCACCTGACAGCCGGATGCTTGAAAACGCTATCTTATCTTTTTCACTCAGGTCGTGCGTGATGTCACTGACTTCGAAAGGAAACGTGGCTGGAGAGACAACATGGAGCCCACTAGTCAGACACGCACGGATCACATGTGGCTTGCGTTTTTTCTTTCTTCCAGATTGTCCAAGCGGGTCCTTGGACGCTACCCAAGTCGGTGTGGCTGACGGATTACCTGCTGTCTGTGGGTGGGTTAGTGCAGGTCGCTGAAGCTGGGCCGAACGTACCTAGTGATGCTTGCCGGCTAGTGCGCTGCTGCGGCGGCTTTGAGTAGGTAGCAAGGCCTCGTCAAACAACAGCTTCATTCAACTACCTACCCCCCCCCTCCCATCGCGACTTATCTCAACCACCGACGGGCTCACCCACCTTCTCACTACACATTCCGCGCGATCCATCATTGCCCGTCGTTGTCCTTGTTTCCCTACAAACCTAATTGATCCCGAAAACAAAGACGCTTACGCCGACGAACCCCCCCAAACCGCCCATCATGTCGCACCAACCTTTGACCGACGACCAAGTAAGCTCCCACGCATCGACAACATAAGAACACACAGTGCCTCTAAAATTACATTCACTAACTCCAGGGGGGTGACGGACAGGTCAGTCAGGAGCTCCGAAAGATGACAGCGTTCATCAAACAGGAGGCGATGGAGAAGGCCCGCGAGATCGAGATCAAGGCCAACGAGGAGTTCGCAATCGAAAAGTCCAAGCTCGTCCGCCAGGAGACGGACGCCATCGACAGCCAGTACGAGAAGAAGTTCAAGCAGGCCCAGATGTCCCAGCAGATCACCCGCTCCACCGCCTCCAACAAGACGCGCCTCAAGGTCCTCGGCGCCCGCCAGGAGCTCCTCGACAATATCTTTGAGGACGCCCGCAAGAAGCTGTCCTCCGCCACAAAGGACAAGGGCAAGTACCAGGCTACCCTCAAGAACCTGATCATCGAGGGCCTCTACGCCCTCGCCGAACCCGAGGTCGTAATCCGCGCGCGGAAAGCCGACTTTGATGTCGTCAAGAAGGCCATTGAGGACGCCGTCAAGGAATACAAGAAGGAGGTCGGCAAGGACACGTCCGCCAAGATTGACGAGCCCAACCCTCTGCCAGCGGAGAGGCATGTTTCACCCCCCCGCCTTCTCACGTACTTATCACTGTGCCCGCAGGAACAGAAGCTAACGAAGATGAAAAACAGCGCCGGTGGTGTATTCATCGTAGGCGGAAAGGGAAAGATCGAAATCAACAACACATTCGAGGAACGCCTAAACATCCTCCAGGACACCGGTCTGCCGGCCGTCCGCGAGACTCTGTTTGGAAAGAACCCCAACCGCAGGTTCACTGATTAAGGCACACCCTCTCACCGAAAGCGCGCGCCCTGCAAATACATACATAGCCCCCTTACCCCCTTTTCTCCCTCACCTGGGGCTAGACAAACGCAACGCTGCATGAAGGAAACCCCCGGCGCCACCCTGTTTCTGAACCCCCCCTTCCTGTGGTGTATCTTAGATGCTGTATGATCGTGGCCAACTCTTGGCGTATTAGGTAGTTATCGTTATACTACGAGTCCATCATCATTAACCGAGTGCCGTCACGAATGTGTCGTCCTCGCTCGACGGTAATTCGACCTTGGCGTTTGTTGCCCCAGCCGGCTTGTTCTTCCTCGGGTGGACAAACTTGTGCATGAAGTCCTGCTGCCGCTTCTTCTTCGCCGACGACGGTCCTTCGTCGTCAAATATGCTTTGTGTGGGCGGACGCTTCGTCCGCACTGAGTAGCTGAGGCGCTCCCCAACCCACTCGAGGACGCTCTTGGCTTCTGTGCGCGCCAGGTTCGCGGCCCCGGTGTCGTTGATGCCGCGCCAGATGGCCTTGAGGCGCTTCGTAAGATCGTCAACTTCTGCGTTGAACTCCTTTTCCTGCTCCCGGTCGTCCTTGCCATGCACAAAGGAGCCGTCATCCACGGCCATGTCGAGGAGCTGCACCAGGGCTTGCAGATCGGTGTAGTTAGTTCTGTGGCCGGTCTGAAAGTCACTGTCCTTTACCCGGGCAATGATGACACGCAGAGAGACGACGTCGTCGGGGTGCTCGCTGGCCAGCGCTGCGTCCCGGAGGAAGAACGCAACCGCCAGTCGTCTCCGTAGCTCATGGAGTTTTGGCGAGGTAACCGGCATACAGAGCAGCGGCAGTATCCGGAGTGACGTCTTGTCGAATCCGTGATAGAGAGACGAGCAGATCTCGAAGCACTAAGTAGTGTCTAGGTCAGCAAAGAGCCCCGAACCCGTGCCTTGAAGCTCGACTCACAAAGCCATCCCAGGCATCGTCCGCCACCGAGTTCACCAAACCCTCCAGGGCATGCTGATGATGCGTGAGGATATCCGCGTTCTCGAGAACCACCCTGTCAGCCGCCATACGGAGCAGCATCTTGACGGCGAAGACCATCGAGTCGTGGCTGAGCTGAGCTGCCACCCAATACAGCCATTCCAGGAACGACTGAAGAGGCTGCCAGTTGCGATCGGCATATATGTCTCGGACTTCTCTGACCGGTTTAAGCACCTCGTCACCGACATGATCTGCGGCGTCCAGCCTGCGCAAGATTTCTTCGAGACGCTGGGGCGTGACGAGCCGCTTGACATGCTTCGCGCTGGCCGCGGCGATTCTGCGGTATTCCTCTCGGAGGACGCTGACCTGTTCGACAGTGGCCATGTCTAAGATCCAGAGGTATAGCTCGTCCGGAAGTCCAACGGTGATTGCCAGGCTGGCGGGCATCCCGGACAAAATGTGTCGGTTTCGCGTTTCCGCCTTGGCAAGGAAAGACCAGGGCCCCTTTGCGCACCTCTGTGGAAAAGGAGCGGGCTCACCTAGACCGTCGTCCTCTTTATTGAAGAAATACCACTTGGTCCTGGACGCACCGGCATCAGCCCGCTCCATTGCCCTCATCGCTTTGTCCGCATCCTCCTCGGACTTGACGCCAGCAATCTCGATCAACTTCTGACGTGCTTTACTGGGGCTGGCTCCCAGGTCCTCCATCACTTCATCCTTGACCTCTGGCGCGGCTGGCCGTTTGGGACTGTCAAACAGTACATCGTGTCTTTGCGAGTGCGCATCCAGCGTCTTGAAATCAAATTTGTGCTTTGGCTGGATGGTAAGAGGCGATTTGTGAATAAACCTGGCCCGTCTCTTGGCTTTTGGCGTTCCGTCTGGCCTCGGCTTGGTCGGACCCAGCATGTCAAGATCGGGGAAAGAATCATCAGATAATGAGACGTCATCATCCTCATCGTCAGAACCTTTGATCACCGCGTCTCTACCGAAAATAGGACGCTTCTTCGCTGTTGATGGAGACGATCGAATGCTGGGAGAGCTGGGTAGACTAGGGAGGGACGGCAAGCTGTTGGGAGTTCCTGCGGCTTTCGGTTCCCCTGAGCTGTTACGCTTGAGTATGCCCGATGGCCTGCTCGTCCGCGACAATGATATGTCGGGGAGTATGCCAGCCGACTGGGACTCGGGCGGGCTCTGGCTGACCGTCCTTTTGGCTGGGCTCTGCCCAAAGAGCCGGCGCCGAGGTGTCGTAACTTCCTCCGGCTCAGGAGACTGCTTGATTGACGCGGGTAGCGAAGAGAATCGTATCTTTCGCAAGGAGCCGCTGCTCTGCCCCGAGGGCGACTGCCTGGGAGTGGCATTATTTACTGGAGTGCGCGATCGTGATCGTGATCGGGGCCTACTGCGGCCTGGTGTCTGATAGATGAGACGCCGCAATGATGGCGGGAGGACCGGAGTAGTGTGGAGTTCCGATAGTGACGATACCGAAGTGTCTAAACTCGACGATGTGAGTGGCAGCGGGCAGGCCGCCGTCGTCGGAGACACAGGCCGACCCGAGGCGACAACTATGGTGTCTGCAACTGAGGTTGCATCTTGTGCTTTTTTTGAACGGGTACTCCTGGTCACCGTTTGCCGGGGCGGCTTCACATTCCGGGCCTGGACGCGAGCACGATTTGGTATCTCCGGGGCGGCGGCATCGGACGACTGCGATCTCGGAATTCCTGATCCGGATTCTTGGGAGGCCTGCAACGATGACACCGTCGGTGTGGCAGATCTCGATGCAGTCCCAAAGAAGCTCCTAATATCTCGGCTGCCGGTTGCGCCTCCAGCCTGGGTGGTGTTGCCCGATTTCCGAGCCATGGCCGACGGAGGGTAAGTGGAAGTGCGGTACAACCTTGTGCAGTTCTTGTTTTACTCGTGTCCAAGCTGCAATACAGATTATCGCGCAGGTTCCTCACTATTGAATGAAGGGCGTAGGCCGTGATGGAAACCTCAGTCACATCGGAACACAGGTAGCACCGCAGGATGGAATGGTCGTCGAGGTGCCGACGCGTGGGCGACGCCGTTTTCGCGTCGGGCGTTGGATGGGAGTTTTAGTGGGGGTCACTTGAAGCTCGGGGCTGTTATCTTATCACTACTAAATTATGTCATCACAGACGGTCTTTGGGCTCATTCGCGCGTTTCACGAGAGTTGGATCAAAGTCGGCTTCAATCAACTGGTCGACCGGACAAGAGGAGGGCTTTTTCAAACCACAATGTCGTGAGGTATTCCGGAAACGACTAGTGGGAACGAACGCATAGGCAGATTGGTTGCCAAGGGTGATGTAAGGAGTTGGAAAATGACATGAATAGTACAAGACGATTGCAGTGACAATACCCACCCGGAATTCCGTTGCTCGATTCAGTCCACACAGCACATAGCAGTAACTATCGTGTGCGAGGTCCAGCAACGGCTCAACTCGGGCCAGGATCGGACGAACAGATATTCGGCACCAGCGGAGGAGGTGCATGATTTCCTTCTCCTACTCCATGGAGAAAAGAAAAACCTGAAATGCAGCTGCGGAAGCCCCGGGTAACGGATGATGAGGGGCACCTCAAAAAAAGACGCGGGCCACGGATTGCTAGGGTTTCCACAGTCGGGAATAGGGGCCGCCAGTCATGACCGTGGCCGCTGCATGACGGTACAGTTTGAGAGTTCCTGGGCGGCGACGAAAGGCAGGTATGGACTGCCCAGGAGCTTGCCATGTTTTCGTCCCTTTTATCTCCGTCCTTTCTTGGCTCAGCACATCACGAGAGAAGAGGAAGGTTCTGGCCTGCAAACGGTCCTTGGCAACCACTATCCCGGCCCATGGGTTACTCTCGGAATTCCAACGAGGTCGGTCATCGGACTAAAATCTGCTCGGGAATTCCGTCTGCAAAAACGGCAGTCTGGATCAGAGGGTTCCAGCACTTTGGGCCACGATTAAAACAAGCATCCTAGCAGGTTAAATCAACCCGCGTCCTGTGTGAGCCGCATGGCCTCCCCCCTCCTTTCATGTTTTGGATGCATCGGAGGGGTTGCGAGATTTGTCGCCCGAGGTCACATGCTACCTTCCGCTTCCCGTCTGTTGTCCTCCGTCCGTTTCCTCGCGGCATTGTTTGAATCACGAGCCTGCATTGGATGAGACGGACAGATTCGGCGTGGGGAACTCGAGTGTTGGTTGCGTTCGAGTCGTGCGAAATCTTCGGGGCAAGTTTTGCTTGACTGCTGCGACTGAAAGCTTATTGAGTTTTCGGTAAACAGCGACCAACAATTGTCTGACTTGCCTTTTGCCGCCGGGCGGTTCGTAGAGGCCATTGTGTGGAGTCTGGTGTGAGCCGTCGCACTCGAGGTCGCCGACGAGAACGGCGCGCGAGCGTCTCACGTTCTTCCACTCGCCTCGTCTCGGCATCAAATAGACCCCGCCAGCGCCGTGAATGCAGCTTTGGCGACTAGCTGGGTGCCTTACAAGTCCCCGCTATTCTCCGTCCTTCCTCCGAAGGGGCATAGCGAAGCCCCGAACGCCCGACTGCGCATACCTCCATTTTCTGCCCATTTCCCAGCTGCGATTCAGAGTCCAGCCGCACGCTGGTTGTCTGCGGGCGCCCCTTTACCACGCATCATATCTATACACATGTAGAAGTCGGGAGGCCAAGCGACCGAACCCCCCCAGACTGGAGAATGAAGCTAGCGGACTGCTGGCAATAGTTGGTCTCAGCAGGCCTGGCGTAGCCGTTAAGGCAGGTGCTTGGAGAGAAACTCCACAGGGGACACCCTGCCGAGGTTGACAACGTCGGTGTGATCCTTGCTTGATCTGAGTAGTTCGCTCTAGCATAGATTGTCTTCTATATGTTGCAGTAGAACACGGACAACTCTGTGGGCAGAGGCGATCCCTGATATGGCCGACAAGCTTAAGCGGGAAGCATGTCAAGACTGTCAAGAGGTGCCTGAGTGGGCGACTATATGCGCGGGCTGTAGATTTGTTTCATGGTGCCATTTCCATGCGGCTAGGACGGGCTTGATGGAGGAGGTGTGGGATTTGGACGGGTTTATCTTCCCGTGGGTCTCTAACAGTGTCCCTCTCAGCCTCATGTTTGCTGCCCAAGGCCGGGTCGTGTGGGTGTGTTTGTATGAGTTTTTTTTTTCCCTTCCTTTTCTTTTCCTTCGTTCGCCATGCCATTGATACCGATACGCTGCCTCGCGTAGATTCGATGGCCGTCTCCTGCCGAGTAAGTCGAGGCTGTTCACGAGGCAGTGTTTCTCTGGATGCTCAAGTCGAGCACTTGACATGACAGACGAAGAAAGCTTGGCTCAGGTGATGACCACTAACACGCCTGCTTGAACGCGCATCTCAATCCCGCATGCCAAACAGACCCTAGTGCCACAGGCGCAAAGATTCGCGATCCGCCCGAGCGCCCGTGGGTACGATGCAACCCTGAGACCCATCATCACTGGGGCCCTGGCCGATGGAGCGTGGTCGCTTGCTATTTGAGGCGCGAGAGAGATGGAAAATGGACCATACTGGATCCAGTCAGCCCGGCTTTGGCCAGCGGTGGCTCGTAATGAGGCGTCGGGTTTCATGCTCCGCCGGTCATCAAAAGACAAGACTTGGAGGCCGGGGGTCCTATTGCGCGCCTTCCTCTGGCTGGCACATTCTTGGCCAATTTCTCTTCTGGGGCAGCCAAGTCACGCAAGTCTAATTTCTGGCAAGAAGCGACAGCCCACGCCTGGAACGGACCCCCTTTTGGCGATGATTGCGTCCCATGATGAACGCGCACAAGTGCTCAGCCTCAGAAGTAGCCGTTAGTGACAGGGTAACACAATACAGGTACCGTAAACTGGTTCGGTTGATCCTAGACCGCTGGCTCGCCGTGGCCCATATTTACCAGTGGCCGTCTGGTTGCCGCCTCGCGGTTGGGATTTGCCTTGTTGCGACGAGGAATGATAATTGGAGCTCGTCCGAAGGAACCAGTCAGAAGTACTGCCAGCACATAACGTCGGTGGCAGGTTGGTTGGGTTGGGCGCAGCATTGGTTGGTACCAGTAAGCAGCGGTTGGGCTGTGCAAATCATGCCTTCCTTTTTAGCCTCGTCCAGATTTGCACGGGGCAAGAGCGCAAACGGCGGAAGGAAAGGAAGAGGCTTGCAAAACGGGAAACAAAATGCCGTGCAGCGCAGACATGGAAGCCGGCGCATAGGGAGCACTAAGCGGTGCGCACGCAGACGGATTTGGATGCAGAATTTGAGGGTGGGGTTGGGTTGCTTAGTGAAGGTGAAGGGGTATGAATGATAAGTGTTTGAAGATGAAGTGAACTTGGGCTGGGTCGGATACGGATCGATTGGACCGGCGATCATCACATCGCATACCAGCCTGCCACTTCGGGGGGGGAGGAGTTTCCTCCCCTCACTTCTTCTTCACACCGAATCCTTGCCAACTTGCTGGGAGACCTGCCTTTCCTTGGAGGCACAAATAAGCGTGAAATGCTTGAGAATTTGCTGACGAAGCAAGCAGCCCGGAGTCATTCGGGGAATAGGAATAGGGGAGGTAAAGGGAGCCCTGTATTACACGAGTAGGGACAGTGCAGTGTGTGGCTGGCGGAAGGCACCTGAGTGGAATGCAACGGGAGCGGAGATAAATTGCGTACCCGGAGTTTATCACAGAAACCACCTACCGAGGGGCTTACATACCTGGGTAGGTAGTAGTAAGGTACACTACTAGGAATGCCTGCGTCTGCTTACACATAGCACACCGCGGAATACCCGGCAGAGTCACTCCAAGTTCGCGCCTCGAAGGTTGGGATTGGTTCGTGACGAGGCGGGCTTGGGCTCACTGGCGCTGGTTTGACAGTAAGACGTTGGTTGCATTGCGAGGTCTAGGGACACGGCCACGGT